TATAATAGGGCTCCTGGGGGATACTTTGTAGACTTTCTTTGTCAAAAGGGCCTCCAAGTAAGCCAGTATATAGGCACCTGGGATCCTTCAGGTGCCTTCTGACTCATCTTGGCAGACTTTAGGGTTCAGGGTTTGGCTTAGGGNNTTCGGGTTTAGGGTTTGGTTTAGGGTTTAGGGTTTAGGGTATAGGAAGCCAAGAAGTTAAAGTCCTAAGAGCCAACCAGAAGAATGCCAAGTCATGGTTGATTTCGGGCCCTGTACTGTGTTGGAGTCTCTAATTCCCATGCACATGTCGCCTAAACCCTGCAAGCCCTACTGCAATTTCGGGGCCTTGAGAAATACAACAGGGTGTTGCGGTCTGTTGTACAATGCTTATTCAGGGACCAAAAGGGGATATTAGTCTAGCTTTCCCAGTAACCTGCTAGCAATAAGGGTACCCTGCTTCCTAATATTCGGTTTCAGTAAGGAAACCCCAAAACAGAAAGGGCAAAAGAGTACTACTGGGGGAACCCAATAGTTGCAATCGTTCGGACCCTTATAGCAGACCTTAAAGCCCTGAAACAGAAGTCCTGCAATCCACAAAGCCCTGTCATCTGACACCCTGACGGGTTTGGGGTTTAGGGTTTTCAAACTCTGATCTAGTTGATGAGTTCCCTGCCAAGTTGGCTCATCTGCGTAGCTATCACAGGAGTAGACAAGCCCCACCTTACCCCCCAAAGTAGATAACATACTGGCCCCAACATCGATAAATGATTGTTCTATATACCCATGGGCTCCATTGTAGTTCCTTTCTGGTATTGCCTTGTAAGATCCTATATATGACCACAGACAGGAACTGTTACGAGAGCCTAAAGGTAATATAGGGGCCATAATAATTAGACTAGGGTTTTGGAGCCCACTAAAATTTAATTATAATAAGGAACCCCCCAACATAGTATAGGTAAGTATTTAGGCCCCTACATTATAGGTACTTGTTCCGGTATAGCTTTAAAAGGCAAAAGGTTACCGTGTCAGCTGCTGGAAGGAACAGGCTGAACGTCGGACCCTGCACCTTAAAGCACTCCTTGACCAGGCCGTTGAAAGATGGTTTGGGGTATAGGTTTAGGGGTTTAGGGTTTAGGTATTAGGGATTAGGGTTTAGGGGTTTAGGGTTCAGGGATTAGGGATTAGGGTTTAGGGGTTTAGAGTTCAGGGATTAGGGATTAGGGGTTTAGGGTTTAGGTATTAGGGATTAGGGTTTAGGGGTTTAGGGTTCAGGGATTAGGGTTTAGGGTTTAGGGGTTTAGGGGTTTGGGGTTTGGGGTTAGGGATTGGGAATTAGGGTTTACGGTTTAGGGATTAGGGTTTAGGGTGCAGGGTTTAGGATTAGGAGTTAAGGTTTAGGGTCGTCCGGAATCTTGTTCGGAGTCACTGGAAAGGTCTATCTCCATCGGCGATCCAGCTTCTCTCAAATTTATGCTGTCGGTGTCGGAAGTGACGCACGCCATCAGGTGTTGTGTAGATTGCAAACATAGGCTCGAAATTTCAGGGGTAGCTTCAATGGTAACAAGACATGAAAACAAATCTACTACAAGCAGAGCTCCTTATGGCCCTTGAATGGAAAACACCACCTTTTTTCTGCGCCATGGAAGCTTTATGTATTCCCAACAAGGTTCAAAGACACCCACCTAAACCCTAAACCCGAAGCCCCTAAACCCGAAACCCAAAGCCCTAAACCCTAAGCCCCCCCTAAGTGGATGATGGTCTCAAACCCAGGAAAGCCGAGAGCGAGACGACCCAGCTGAGAAGATGACGAAGTTGCTTTTCAGGCGGAACCTGGGTTTAGAGTTTAGAGTTTAGGGTTTTAGGATTTAACAGGGGTTTAGGGTTTAGGGTTTAGGGCTTTATAGGGGTTCAGGGTTTAGGGGTTGAGGGTTTTAGGGGTTTAGGGTTTTAGGGTTTAGGGTATAGGGCCCTGGACTCCCATGACATAGTTTCAGGGTTTAGGGTTTAGGTTTTAGGGTTTAGTTTCATGGGGCCTCAGTAATTAGACAAAGAGTGTTGGGGTATACAGCTGTTGTAAAAAATAGCTCGGAACCCTAAACCGTAGGTCCTAAACTCTAAACCCTAATGTAGGGCTCTTAATAATTAGAATAGGGTTTTGGGGTAATCATACTACAATGATAGCAAGGAACTCCCAAAATAGTATTCAGGCCCCTACATCAAACCCCAATGCTGCGCTGAGGGCTTGAGGAACTTTCGGAACTTTCGGTTTAGGGTTTAGGGTTTAGGCTTTAGGATTAGGGTTTAGGGCTTAGGGTTTAGGAACTTTAGGGTTTAACGTTCAGCCGCAGGGCTAGAAGAGCTGGGGCCAAAGCTTTGCTTGGTCCTACGGTTGATGACCCAGAGAACCCAATACACCTTAGTTAAGGAGCATACCTTAAATTATGGGGGGCCTTACTATTATGATTTAGGGTATACTTCTTAATTAAGGGGTGTTGGGTTCTCTGGGGATAAAAATCCTGCATTACCTTTAGTTCCCGTATAAGGGGTAATGCAGGATTTAAATCATCAACCATAGGAAGTTCCTCTGAAACGAAGCAAACCTGTCACGGGTTTAGGCTTTCGGGGGTTTAATTAGGCAAGCATGTCTTAAAAGCTCCATGCCCGGGAAGCAAAGGTCGTACGGAGACAGCACGTCGAAAGATGGGCTTGCCCAGACTGCGCAATCCAAAACTGCCCTTTCCCACCTCCGAAATACCAACCTTCAGGAACCAAATTATTGCTCGGAGGACGTAATGTAGGGGCCTCAATAATTAGAACAGGGTCTTGGGGGCTCCTTATTATAACTAGAATAATTATAGTATAATCTACCCCCGAACCTTCTTCTAACCATTAAGGCCCCTATATTCATAAATTGGGTTCTTCGTGTTGGCTGACCGGTTCAGTATGAGAGGGACTTAGAGGACCCTGGCAGCTTACATGTGTGCCCACAGCCCGAAGGTTCACAAGGCCTAGCAATGAAGCCAAAGAGGCCCGCCCTAAACCCTAAACCCTACACCCTAAACCCGAAACACGAGATCCTACACGCTAAAGCCCAGGAGCCTAGAGCCCCTCAAGCCCTGAAGCCTACCCTAAACCCTATAGGGTTTAGGGTTTAGGGTTTAGGGTGAACGACCTCCCGGGTCCCAAGCCCTCAAACACTGACAAAAACCCTGAAACTCGGCATGGCTCCCGACCGTGCCGGAGTTCTGCAAGCTCTGCAGAATGATGGCCTCGTGCGAGCCGTTGTCGTCTGGTGGTGGAAGTAGTACTACTAGGTACTAGTCCCGGTACTCGTCGTAGTAGGTGTCGAGATGAGGATGATGATGCTGGTTGTCGTGGTGATGATGACAATCAGATTGGGATATGATGGCCTCCCTAGACCCTAAACCCTAAACCGCCTCCCGCGATGTTTGCAACAGTAGCGCGTGTAGGATCCGCTTCTGGCTTACAGGTGGTCCATCCGAGGATTTGGGAGACTTCATCGTTATGGCCCTGGTCTGCGAATCGGCCAGGACTGACTCAAGATCCACATGAACCCTAAACCCTAAACCCTGAACCCTGAACCCTAAACCCTAAACCCTATATAGGAGTCTCATAAGCGAAGGGACCTTATTTAGAAGATGACGCTGTGGGATCCCCATTACCCGCACCGCCATCGTGGAGGGTTTTGGCCTTAAGGATGCTCAAGGGGTTTAGTGTTTAGGGCTTAGGGTTCAGGGTTTAGGTTGCCTATTAACCCCTGCAGAACAAGGGACAAGAACACAAGAACCTTCACAACGGATCCATGAATAAAGAAAAACAGCCAGTCCTTATGCCCCAACTTTATCAACCCGACAAGCCAAACCCTCAACTCAAAACAAACTGGGTTTGATATAGGGGCCTTAGTAATTCCAATAGGGTTTTGGGGTACTTTACACCATAATTACAAAAAGGAGCCCCCAAAATAGTATTGGTAATTCTGTAGGCTCCTACATTAGGGTTTAGGGTTTGTCAGAAACCCTATAGTTAAAGGAAACTACAGGTGGGGAGTTTAGGGTATATAGGGCTTCAATAAGGCTTCCGTAAGGTATATAGACCTTCTATAAGGCTCCTTATAATGGTAACTACCCACCTGAAAATGTCCTAGACTTAACCCACTCAACCATCCCTACAAAACCCTAAACCCCTAAAACCCTAAACCCTCAACCCTTAATCCTACCCCTAAACCCCTAAACCCTACACGAGCATCGGCTCAGGTCGCCACCGTCTCCTCTAAAGGCAGTGGCCTCTCCGGTAAGGTCTCCGCAAGGATCCTCGAGATTTGGGGCTGCGGGGTTCGGAATTTATTTTGGCTGCAGGGTTTAGGGTTTAAGGCTTGGGGCTGAGGGTTTAGGATTGATTTTGGTTGCAGGGTTTACGATTCAAAACGTGGTTAGATTTTGGGATGAACCTCCTAGTATAACAGTACATGTATACAAGCGGCTAGCATATACTATTATTCAATTTTCAGACCTCTCGTCTGCTAGGATCCCAAAACATCGTAACCCTGAGTGGGATCCCAAATACCCTAAAACATCCTCCTGCTGGCGGCTATGAGGGGTGAGGAGGGAGGATCATGTCATGGAGTTCCCCCAAAGGGGGGGCATGCGGGGTGTCTGGAGGTGGGGATTTTCAGGCAATGCCGGTTTGGGGTTTAGGGTTTGGGATGTTGAGGAAATCCGCTAAGAGTCAGATGAGTCAGATGCAACAGGAGCACAACTGCTGAACCCTAAACCCCTAAACCCCTAAACCCCTAAACCGCCTAAACCCTAAACCCCTAAAGTGTCGAAGCAGGCATCAGTTCTTTTGCTTGTATCCTCAAGGGCGAACCCCAGCCGTACCTTGGATGCTCGGGAAAACCTGTGGTGTGATCTTCCACATAGGTGCGGGTTTAGGGTTTAGACTAAGCCCTAAAGTTCAGGCCTTAGTCTAAACCCTAAATCCTAAACCTTTTGACAAGGATTAGGGTTTAGGGTTCAGGGTTTAGGGTTCAGGGTCGAGTGTGGCACCTTCAACCCGTTGCTACATCGCTCTCTCTCGCGGTAGATAGATCTGTTTGGCTTTTCTCTGAAGAGATCCCGAAGGGTCCTAAGTACCTATATCGTAGAATGTAGGATTTCTATATTAACTAGGAATTACTATTATGATGCAGGGAAGTATCCTCCATAACATCTTTGGGGATATATAGCCTCCCCCCGGAGGCTGAGAATAGTTACACGATGGGGTTTAGGGTTTTGGGTTTGGTAGGTTCTGTGTACGATGCTAGAACGCCCAACCCGCAGATGCATTTCCAATCCTGCGTCCTTCGGGAACGCTGAGCCAGTGTGTTGTAGGGGCCTGATAGGAGCCCATGCCACTGTACTTCTAATAAGGAACCACCAAAATAGTATAGGTAATTATTGAGGCCCCTGCCACGTTAATCAAGCAGAGGGGATCCTAAAACCCATAACCTACTACTAAACAATAAACCAGGAACTCTAAACCGCAACACCCGTCAATCCTCAACCCACGGCAAGAGACACGGTCCTGTTGAGGAGTTCTCGGACGTCGGTCCCAGCCTCGGGATACAGCGGCCAAAGGTACATAACGTTTAGTTTAAAGTTTAAGTTTAGGGTTTACGCCGAAGCCCTAAACCCCTAAACCCTAAACCTCTAAACCCTAAACCGTGTTTAAAATTTAGGGTCTGGGCTCGCGGCTTGGAGTCTTGGGCTTTGGGTTCCGGTATACTTTAGGGTTTATTTAGGGTTTAGGGGTTTGGGGCTTTAGGGTTTTAGGTTTTCGGGTTTAGGGCTTGGCTTGATCTTCGAAACCGCTTAGCCCGAAAACCCTTAAGCGACACAGGGTTTAGGGCTTAGGGTTTAGGGTTTAGGGGTTTAGGGTTTAGAGTTAAACCCTAAACCCTAAACCCTAAACCGTGGGACTTGCTGGGCGTCTTCCCGAATGCAGCATGGAGAGGCTGGGTCATCCCCGAAGATGGCATAGTCACGGTTCATTTACATTTAGGGTTTAGGGTTTAGGGTTTAGGGTTTAGGGTTTAGGGTTTAGGGTTAATTTAGGTTTACCCTAAAGCTCCATGGACCTACCGAGTATATACTTACATGGGGCATCGCCAAAACAAGCGTTTGTTGAATCAAGACCGTTACTTTGGGGTTTTAGGTCCTTTGGGTTATAGTTTTTACCTTAGCCCCAGATAACCTACCTGTTTACGGACCTATAATATAAGGAATTCATATTACGGAGCCCCAAAAGGTAGGTTTGTTCTACGGTCCAGGTGGGGCTTAGGGCTTCGGGTTTCGGGATGTCGGAGGCCCAGGACTGGGTTGCAGGTTGAGGGCGTGCGGTTCGGAGCACTTAGACCGTGACAGGTGCGCTCTGCTGGATTAGGGTTTAGGGTTTAGGGTGCCCCACTGTATGCAGTCCTGAGCCTAACCGCCTAACCATGAAGACACAAAGGAATTGCAACAGTCTCGTAAAACTACTGCTCCAGATTACAAAGAGACACCAGGGTTTAGGGTTTAGGGTTTAGGGTTTAGGCTTTAGGCTTTAGGGTTCTTAACACCTTTGTTGCAAATAACCCTTCTACATCCATTCTACAAGGCGCGACGCACATCTCAGGGTCCCTTATGTTCAGAAAATCCTTACAGAATGCCATTAAGGTTTAGGGTTTAGGATTTAGGGTTTAGGGTTTAGGGTAATAAAACTGCGAAAGCAAACACAATCAACATCCTAAAGCCTAACCCTTTGAACCCAAAACCCTCCCCCACCTCGCCTTGTCAGTCAGCTCAAGGTCTGTTGCAGCGGACAGGAAGCGGATTAAGCCCATCGTGGGCATGCGGGCCAACTCCTGCAACTTCGAGATGGAAATCTGGGGGGATGTAAGAATTAAACTAGTATTGGCTAGGGTTCCTTGCTATATTGTTATGCTGTACAAAAAAACCTAGTTGTAGTGTAGTATAACCCAAGCCCCATTCATCCCATTCCAATTATTGCTAAACCCTAGACCCTAAACCCAATTGATGTCGCTCCCTCCTTCTCTAAGAAATGTTTTTTGTTACTTGCCGTGGTATTTCCTTCGCTCGGATTGTTGGCTTTGTGGGCGGGAGTTTAGGGCTTAGGGTTTAGGGGTTAGGGGGTTTAGGGGGTTTAGGGGGTTTAGGTTTTACGAACTTCAAGGCAAACGCGCCACTCCTGCTGCCGCCGAAGCCTTCGGTAGAAGAGCGACAATTCCGGCAGCCACAGTCCCACTGCCTGGAGGCTTGGGGTTTAGGGTTTAGGGTTTGGGGTTTAGGGGATATGGTCATGCACTACCCCACTTTCAGAGTACTTACTTTTCTAGATAACATATCCTTGCCAAAATAAACCTCAAGACAGGGGTAGGGTATAAGCGCGGCGCAGTCCTGGGTTCAGGGTTAAGGCTTTGGGAGTGGGCTGCCGTAGGACTATAGTCGACCATATGTACGGCCAAACCCTACAACGCCCTAGATCAACAATCAACTGCAAGCCCATGAGCCCTACAACATGTTGGACGTCACATTTATCCCAAAACTGACTAACTGACCTTGTGAAATTGAAAACGAGTCCTGCGTCTGTGGTTTAAGGCTATAGCTAAAGTACATGGGCATCTTCAAGGTGGCCATCATCATTTGTCGAGATGTAGTAACTAGAGAGCTTAGCTTTGCAGTGTAGCTCAAATTTAGCCCTAACCCCTAAACTCGAACCTCTTAAACCCCTAAACCCTTGTAATGCCCAAAGCCCTCACCCCCTAAACCCTAAATCCATTAGAGAGGCCTTATAGATCCCTTTAAAGTTCCTTAAGCACTAAGCCCTGAACCCCAAAACCCACAAACAAATCCAGGGCCCCCCGGCGGCGCAGGACTCGAGGATGCCAACAGCCTGGCATTTTTGCGCTCAGACGTTTCGGCTTTAGGGTTTAGGGTCTCGGATCTATATGGGTTCTATAGTGGGTTTACGGTTTTAGGGTTCCCTTACAGGGATCTATCTGGGTTCTATATTAGGGTTTTGGGTCTGGGGTTTCGGCTTTCGGCTTTAGGCGTTTAGGCTTTCGGGGTCCTCTTAAGGGATCTATAAGGGTCTCTAGGGGTTTAGGGCTTACGGGTTTAGGATTTAGGGTTCCTGTAAAAGGGGTCCATGAGGGTTCTATAAGGGGTTTCGAGGTTTAAGGTGTAGGGCTTCTTTTAAAGGGTTCTATAGGAGGTTTAGGGGTTCAGGGTTTGGGGGGTTAGCTTAGGGTTTCGGCTTTAGGGTTTAGGGTTTTAGGTTTCCGTTAAGGGGATCCATAAAGTTCAATAAGGGGTTTACCGTTTAGGGGTTTTCGGGGTTCACGGTTTACGGGTTAGCGTTTAGGGTTTAGGGATTTAGGGGTTAGGGTTGCGAATTGTCTGGTGGTAAAAAAACCCTAAACCCTAAACCCTAAACCCTAAACCCTAAACCCTAAACCGTAAACCACAGAGGTTATGGCAAACCGCTAAACAATCGAACTGTCGAGCATTGTGAGGTTTATGAGGCTCGTGGGCCTCGAGAGTTTCGGATTAAGGTTTAGGGTTTAGGGTTTAGGGTTTAGGGTTTAGGGTTTAGGGTTTAGTTTTCGTTGAGGGGCTTGAGGCTGAGATGCTGGAAGTTGCTGTGATTTTGATGTATGCTTTGCCATAGGGTTCAAGGCTGATTTGCAGAATACCTTAAGTGTTCCTTGTAGTTCCTTATTTTTGGTTTAGCCAGTTTTATATGAAGGATCCAAAAAGGTGGAGACTATGAGTAACTTTCCTTCATGGCTTAATAAGTAGAGGTTCTGAGTTTGCATCTAGCTGCTTGCTACTGCCAACAGACGGCTCCGCAGAGGCTTAATGCTTCGGGTTAAGGGGAATCCGGCTTTGGGGTGCAGGGTTTGGGAGTGTTCGGTTTCGGGACCCTCTGAATTTCAGGCTAGGTTTTGGTTCAGTTTAGGGTTTAGGGTTTAGTGTTCAGGGTAGACTCTAGACTCCAGATTTGTTGATCTGTGGATGTTTCAAAGAGGAAGTCGGCTTTCAGGATTCGAAGCTTGGGGGGAGAGGCATTCTAATGCCACATGCCGGCCGGGAGGCATCGATGAGCCGGCCACCAGCAAGTGGCGAAGTCTGTCAGGCTTTCGCCGAGCATGGCCGCGCCGTCAAAGCGCAAGGCAAGGACTCTCTGCATGCTGCGCACCCTAAACCCTAAATCAAAACCCTA